ATGGAAATACTACAAATTCTACAGACAGCCTTCTGTCTGTACTTACCTTCTCTTTTAGAAACTATTCCCCTAATGTTTAACAGAAATCTCTCTTGCTGCAATTTAAACCCATTTTGTGGTTTATATTTTAGGCACAGCATTTATTCTCTTTTCCCCAGTGGAAAAGGAGGGTAGCTCCCTGTAATTTTTTGATACTTGGTTGTAAAGTCTTTCCTTATACTTCCCTAAATATATAAACCAATTTTTTTTAAAACGAGATACACCATTCCAGCTGCAGCCTTATTACTATGAGTGAACTGGAAGGATTATTCCACAGTTCTTCCATAGAACATACTAGCTAATATACCAGCAAATATTTGAGCATTTTTACTAACAAAATGCTGTTGGCTCATATTCAGCCCATTTTGACTCCACATTCTTTTCTGTCTTGTGAGTCATCTGCACAGTTGTAATTGTGAAGTTGTTTCACCCACATAAAAGACTTTTTACTTGCCAAATTGAGTTGCATCCTGCTTCTTTAGACTACCCAATTTGTCAAAATTGTTTTGAACTTTAATCCTGTTCTTCCAGTACTTGCAATGGCTCCCAATTTTGTGTCACCTGAAAGGCTTGATAGGTTCTTCCTGTCTTCCATAATTCAGGAAATATTAAATGATGCCAGAAGCAGAACAAACTCTACGAACCACTTCATCCATCTATCCACTTTGACAGTAAGCCATTGATAACTGTTCTGAATACAATCTTCCAACAAATGTCTACCTGTTTTACATTAGTTTACAGTAATTCTCATCTCTTGCTTTTGAACTACCCTCCTGTTTGGCACATATCATTTTCATCCATCACAGCTTGTTGAAAGTGATTATGCTTTTCTTCTCAATTTATTTCTGTGTTGAATTGAAGCAGAGCAGGTGGTTGAATGCTCAATGAGTTAATGGGGTGTGTGCTTTATGCATATCAGTATTTGGTAAGCCTGAAATGTTTTCTAAAAATAGATTGAAAGTTTCAGTACTTCCTGTGAGCTCAGCCTGGGAACTGGGGAATAAAGCAAATGAACAAATAAATAACCTTTAAATGCTCTATGCATAACTCTTCTAGTCTATATTTGTCTTTTTTGTGTTTATTAATGTGTCTCCTAAGAGATTCATTTCTCTTTCACTGACCTCCATGTTAGAGATTCTGAATGTAGAAATACTGGTGGTAGCAATCAGCCTGTATAATTTGGATGTAGTTGATGTTTAAAAACATTCAGCTCCATTTATAGTAATTTAAACAGTAAACTTCTTTTTAGCTTTTTATTGTGTTTGAAATTGAAATTTGACTTTGTCTTTGACTCTTCTGGCAAATGGTTTATGGACTGAGGACAGCAGATAGAAATATGTATAAAACTACTGTAATAACAGGTTGTGTTTGTATTTTTATACATAAAAAACCCAACATTTTTATGTCGTAAGTCAGAAACTGTAATTCTGATAAAGGCACTTTTTAAGATATTTAATCTTCATGATATCTTCCAAACCATAGACAAGGGCTAGGCTGTTATAGACATTAAGAAACAAATTAAAATACATGTCTAGGAAAAAACATCACTTTATTGAAACAATTAACTTGTCTCAGAGGAAACTGCAGAATAAAATATGTGGCATCTTATATAAGTCATGTGTAGGGTAGACTTAACTATGTATATTAGACTTAAAAAAACCCCAGAAATAACCAACAATAAAAAAACCAACCAACCAAACAAACAAAAAAACCACCAAGGGAGACTCTGCCTAAAAAATAATAATAGAGAAATGGTTATCGTAGGTTTAATACAAAACACATTGAAATGAGCTTTCACTGATCTTTGAATCAGCTCTATTAGTGAAAAAAAAGTGGACCAAATTCTCATACACTAATTTGCATAGCATCCTTTTTAAGAGTCATCTCAGTTATAACAATAGAGTTACTTGCAGAATGCATCATTATTCCTAAATAGTGAAATAATCAGTCCAAAGTAGTCACAACTGTCAAATGCTTTTAGAAATAAAAATCATTTACTCTCCTTACCCAGGCTGCTATGAAGGAAATGGCCCTGTTCTTTTACTGAATGTACTTTGCACCTATCACATCTGAGAAATGTTTATTATTATCTTCTAGGTTTTACTGTTCCACTGTTTTCATTCAAAAAATTTAACAGAGGCATATTCTTCCATGTTTTGCAGAGTAACTTATATCTCCTCCTATAGATGAAATAGAATAGTTAAATTATGTGCATGTTGTACTTCAAGGCTGCTTCATTGGTTTTACAAGCACTGGATTACACTGTATTTGTCAGGGTCCTGAGCACAACCTCCTTCAAGGAGTTTATTTGGTTAAGTTTAGAAGTGTAGCTGACTGCATCCAAGGTCAACTTCTTTGCTGGTATGAGCTGCTGTGAAGAAAGGTTCATGCAGGGGCTCCCCCTCCTTTTCATTGGAAGCTCCTTTTAGTCTGAGACACTACTGCTGACCTCCAGCTGTGCTTGGTCTCGTACTTTCTCAGTTCTGACCCAGATCCAGACTTTCCGGCTGGGTTTCCTGGCCTGGCCTCAGACCTGCCTTGTTGCTGTGGACTCACTGGGTGATCATCAGACTGCAGCTCAGCCTTGTTCACTCTTTCTGGATCCGAGAGGGGCCCTGGCTTGCCACTCTGCCCACTCTGCAGTCTGGGTCCTTGTTGGTGGGGTCACTGCTCCTGTCTGCCCTGTTTCCACACTCTGCTCCCAACTCACTTTTAACTGCAGTGCACTTGGCCTTGCTGCTCCCAACCCCACTTACCCCATGTTGAAATGAAAAATCACTGATTGCATATCGAGTTCCTTGGGACCAAGGGATTACTCTGACTTGGCAGTGGCAGATATAAGATAGAGGTTTCATTTTCATCAAGAATTATATTTATAAAATATGTAAGAAAAAAACCAGAAATATTTTATGGAAATAATTTACAAAAGTGTAGGTTACAAGATTGCTATTACGTTATGTTTGGTGGTTTATGTAGCAAGCATATTGCTTTATACTAAATGCCTTATACCTTAGCTTGGTACTGTATGCTGCCAAGAAAAGAAGCTGTGATCAGATTTTTACTATTACAATATTAAAGATAAATGAATTCTAAAATTTACTAAAGTGCATCTCTATTAATGATGAAGACACGGAACCTTTCTTTATTGACATGAATAGATAATCTCAGCATTTCAGCCACAGTGTCATTTCCATGAAGCTTATTTAATGGAAACTATCCCTTGTGAAAGAAAAAAGAGCTGTTTGAAGTATCCACAGCTATGCTAGTCCCAATAGAGAAATTAAAGCTAACAGATTTGCAGTAAGTATTGATTGATGTCTAAAAAGTCCTGACAATACTTAACAAAGAACAGGTAAAAAAATATACAGTGTGAGAGCTAATGAAATGTATGATCAGGCCCAGGAACAGGTATGTATGATCCAGGGTGTGAATTTGGCCACTCTATTCAACATGCAAATCTTAACAAATATATAGTACAATATAGAATTCTTACCTTCTTTTTTTAATGAATTCCAAACACTTGGTGAGTTACTGTCAATGTCTGCCCATAAACTGTGTCCTTCAGCTCTGAAGGCCCATGAAAAGAGAGATTCTTTTTACCTCATAAGAATCCTCAAGCGCCATGGTTTAAAGGAACTGCTGCAACAGTGGATTCAGTTCCCCTCAGCACTCTTACACTTCACTTAACCACTAAGATAATACACTAACTTCAACTTTGCGCTCTCTTTTCACAGACAAATTGCTTAAAAATAAAAACAGAATGTTGAAACAGGATTAGAAGAAAAAAATGCCATAATTTAACAGCATTTAATATTTATATTTCTTTTTCCTGGATTTAGTGGTACTCCTTTAGTTATTTTTTTATGTTTTTATTATGGTGGGCATTACTGTACTGTGATGAACACCATTTAAATTTACCATTAAACATTTAGTATTGCACTTTCCATACTGAATGTTGTGAATACAATAGCACATTACAGGTTGTCGTAGTTTAGGACTGGGCTGGCCACTAAATCCTGGACAGATGCTCTCTCCCCTCCCCAGGAGGGAAAAGAGAATAAGGGAGAGAGACTTTATGGGTTGGAAAATAAAACTAACAGATTTAATAAAACAATGATACTAATACTACAGGATAATAATGTGAATAGGAAAAATAATGAAATATATACAGATATGTACAAGTATATATACAAAACCAATATAAAATCCTCCCCCCACCCTCCCCCCAGTGACAAATACGTCACCAGAGGATCTGCAGAGCAAGGCACTGGAAAAGTCCCAGACTGAACTCAGCGGCAGTGGGAGCTGATGCAGGAACACAAGGATCAGGATCAGAGGCAGATGAACCAGCAGGCTCTGCTCGGACTTTGGCCATTGTAAGATCAAGAAGGAAGGAAGGGTCCAAGATGGAAGGGTTGAGACCCTCGTGATCCCTCAGCTTTACACTGAGTATGACGTATGTGGGATGGAATACCTCGTTGGTCAGTTTTGGGTCCACTCTTCCCCCGTAGGCGCAGACAGGGCACCCATGATGAGACAGTGGCCCTGAGATTATCAGTTCACACTGTCTGGAAAAAACATGCTGCTAGTTTTCAGCAAGTTCAGCCACTTAGAAGAGACTGAGCTGAAAGTAAAATCACTAAATAGAAAATTAGTTCTATTTAGCTCAAACCAGGACACAGGTGGAGAAGTTTTAGAAGAAAAAACTATTTCATTATTTCTTCTGTTAGATGTCCATGAAATCTGTAGGAGTTTGCAGTGGATCTAGTCCCATTTTTAATTGGACTGTACCTTGTAGATATCTTCCTGCTAGTCCACTGCCATCTTATATTTTGATATGCTGCAGATCATTTTATTTCTCTATCCAGTAGATATATACCAATATTTACACACATCCGTAAAAATAGCTGCAAAGCTGCATTTGGGTCTGTATCTGACTTTTTTCCCCTCCATTATTGTAGCTATAATTAAAACAGCTCTTCCCAACATGGACAGAGAAGCCAAAGAAGAATACTTTGTGGTCATCCAAGCCAAGGACATGGGAGGACATATGGGTGGACTCTCTGGAACTACAACAGTGACAATTACACTCACTGATGTTAATGACAATCCTCCTAAGTTTGCACAGAGTAAGTGCTATTATGTGTATATGTTCTATATAAGAAAGTAATATAATGTGGGTTTTTTTATTTATCAAGCTCTTTCTTTTAATCATCATATTACTTGGGTTTGTAATATTATTTACAAATATGGAACTGCTACTGTAGAAAAATTAATAATCATCTGCCTGATTAAGATCTTAGGAAAGAGGGAATTACATGCACAACAGTGTACACAGGTTTCTCTCTTCCTTGCTACCCCTCTTACATCCACACAAAAGGGCTCGGGAACTTTTTTTCATATATTTATTTGCTTTCAGTGCAGTTGTTTCAGAGTGCCAGTTTTAGTTGCTGTTATATATGTGTCCACCTAATGCAGACAAGTAACACCACCAGAAAAAGCCATATGTAACTGATAAAAGAAATAAAGGTTTGACTAGTTAAGTAATAGTGAAGAAAACAAGGAAAATAAGTTTGAGTCTGGATAATTGTTGATCTATAATTCAAAATCCATACTTACTACTGTGTTTCCAATGGATATCTTGGTGGACTAGGTTAAAATTATTTGGCATCCTGCTGAGATTCTTTACAAGCTTTGTAGTCTATTTAAAAGATGAAGACAAAAAAAAAAGTAAAAAGAAGAGAAAAGAGCATAATGACTGTATCAATTTTATTTGGAATGGGTGCAATCTAATGCACTATTAGAAGCTTATCTTTTTATCCAGCTTGTTATGAAAAACTGAAGTTGTGTGGTCTTAAGAGTCTGTTTTGGAGTTGGAGAATTTTCACATCTAGACTTAGTATAACTTTTACTTTGTTAAAAGCGTGCTTCTCTGACAACGTACTTATGCACCTGATGCAAAATTAATTATTTTCCACATATGTATGAGTCGAAGTCCACTTTTGTCCTGTTTTGAAGAGTGAAATGGGTTTGTCCTAGTACTCAGCATGTCAAAAATATTCTCCTATAATCTAGAAAATGGACATGCAGATAGAGAAAAAATATAAAATAAATAAGCAGAGTTAAAAGATTATTTGCAAAATACATGTTATTACCTCATCTTAGTGTTTTTAACAGATAAGCACCCTGTGCATAGTAAAATATTTTCTCTCATTATAAAATAAGAAATGCATGAATTTTTTACTTTACATCACATTGCATTGCTTGCACTTGTGTAGTAATGTTTTCCAACATATGATGATAATTTCCTTCATAATGTAAACATCTATACATGGCTGAACTGTATCACCAGAATGCAGAAGGACATTTCTTTTATACCTGCAATGTACTGTAGCTCTAACTCTGTGACTGCAGATCTCCTTTTGCCAGCTTACCTGGCTTTTATGTTTGTATCAGCACCTTCTATCTCAAAAAGCCTTTCCCTGCCAGTATGAAAAAAAGCTGATTAGAAAATCAGCAACACAACTGGTACTAACTGGTGCATTTGATGGAGGTCTCAGTAGGAAGCACAGGAGTGAATGCATACAAAGATGAAACTGTGCCGTCCCTGTGCAGTTGACTCATATTTGTTCTCCTGCAGTTTGGATGCAGTGACACACTGACTGGGTAGCATGAGGAAGACTGCATCACAGCTCCCCAAAATATATTTTCTGTATGGAAAATGTAGATTAGCCTTCCTTCAACAAAGAGTGAGTTGCTGTCTTTGAAACCATTACAGATAGTGCATTCCAGTGCAGAATTCAAGCTACAATCTAGGGATAACCACTCTGGTCTAACACTGACCATTATGCAATGACATGAGAAAAAAAAATGTACTGTGAGTTTATATTATGTATATATTGCATTTAATGAGGCTGAGCCATAGTAAATATTGTCACAATGCTATTACAAATTCTGCCTTTTAAAAGTAAGTATTCATAGCATGCTGCCTAGCATTACAGATTAGTCATGACTCTGGCCTTATACAAGAGCTGATCAAGTCTTTAACAATTTTTTACATTGTTGAAGCACAGTTTGCATTTGCCTGGAAAGGAAAATAAGAAAGGATCAAACTTAGAATAGAGCCTAACCAGAATGAAATATAAATTCATAAGACATAATACATGCTGCTTTCACAATAAATTGTAATGAACTCAGAAGGCAGTGTTTTACCGGTTTATTGTTTCCAGGCAGGGTAGAAATGTATATTTATTGTTTGATTTCAAAGAGTGTTAGCCTCCTGGGCTTTAGAAATGAAAAAGATGAACTTTCACCACTTCTATGATCTCTTTGAAATAATTTTAGAGGCAGTTTATAAGTCACAGAAGTTTTTGACCTGGCAGTTTACTGTGTGATTGTACTGAGAAGAACTGTGCACTGCTGTGAAAACCAAGGGTTTTCAAAGATGCATAATGTGGATTTTTGGTCAGCCTTGCACTATGACCTCTTGACAGGACAGTTCATAATACTTCAGAGCAATTTGTGTAAAAGAGTCAGTGGTATCATCTGTTTTTTTGTTGTTTTTTTTTTCCCCTCCACAATATTTTATAAACTATCTTAGTAAATCTGAGAGGAAAAATACCAACTTAAAAATGCAATCAACCGTGTCTGGACATTCAGAACACAAAGCATGGACAGCAGTATAAATTATGAACATATACTTTAGTCTCCTTACGCACATGATTGCTTTGGCTGCTCATTGTTTGTGAGCCATTGTAAATACTCTTGAGGAATCTTGATGATCTCCAAATTACCTCTAATAATTTAGCCTAGAAACATTAAAGAGAGAAAAAAAGCAGCAACACTTTGGGACAGATTATAAGTATAGCTAATATATGTATTTGTGAATTCCTCACAGTTTCCTTCCTTCTTTCAACTGTTGCTACTGCAGTCGGCCTACAACTACTTAAAGCAACAACTTCAGAACAGTCTTTTTTAGAAAACTACTAGCTGCATATAACAGTAAAAATCACACATTGTCTTAGAAAACCGTGAGGACAGAAAAGAGCAAGTCCAGAACACTTTGTCAAAAACTATTTTAATGGTCTCATCTGCTAACCTTCAATTTCTTTTGACTATTTCAATTGCAAAGTAGCACTGCAGTTGATCAGATCACATATTAACCCTAGTTTCAATAAGCATGAATTATCAAGAGACAAAAAAGAAGGCACTCCATAAAGAATTTTTAAAGTAAAGCATGCATGTGTTGTCTGTTTTTCAGAGTATTATTAAGAACTGAGGAATAAAATAGTAAGAAGTTTATTTTGATTAAATGTTTGCCTAATGTTATATATTACAAATTCTGATCGGACTAGGTGATCTTTTAAGGTTCCTTCCAACCAAAACTATTCAATGATTCTAAATAGATATTAGACACTTCTTCAGTCAAAAGGTTTGAAGCAAATACTACAAAAAATTAAAATGCTAACAGTTTGAATAGTACTTTCTAGTGGTTTTTAGTCTAACCCTACAACAATTTGTAAATTTACTAATGATTTCTGTAAAAAGTTGTTGTTTCCTTTAAGACATAAATTTTGGGAGTTTTCTTGAAACTTTCTTAATTAGTTTCTTACAACAAAAGTGAGGTGGAAGGGGGTAAAAAAATAAAGGATCAAAAAGTAGTAAAGATCTGGAATTGTATGAGAAAACTTTGAGATATAGACCAGTTTTCTACAGAGTAAAAGCCAAAGTTCCATAGTACAATACTGTGAAAAATAAAACTACTTCTGTAAATAAAACAGTAAGTTCAACAGTGTCTGCAGTAGAGAGCATTGCATAATTTTAGTGTTGAAAGTAGCTTAATATTTATGTTTTCCAACACTAACATCCCTGCAAGGTAGGAGCAGGATACTACTGTAATGAAAAGAACATTCACATATAGTAAACTGAATATTCCTATGTAAGGAAAAAGTTTTGCTGCTTTCAGTAAATAATTTGTGTAAATGTGGTTTGTATCAGTTGCACATCTCAAGAGTTTGCATTGGGGAAGTATAAACAAATGAAGAGCACACAAGATGCTGGAATCAGGTGTAATGTTTAGTCTTTTCCTCTTATTTATAAGGTCTGTATCACTTCTCAGTAATGGAAGATGTTGCTCTTGGTGCACCAATAGGAAGGGTGAAAGCAAATGACCTGGATATTGGAGAAAATGCTATATCATCCTATGATATTATTGAAGGAGATGGAATGGATATATTTCAAATTACTACAGATGCCCAAACTCAGGACGGCATTATTAGAGTGAGAAAGGTAAATGATATCTCTGTTAAAAAAAAGCAACAAACAACTAAAAATGTTTCTTGTACATACAACGACTGAGCCAGACTGTACTCTGTGAGAAGATGCTGGATTTTCAAGGATTCCTTTATCTATGGATGAGGTGTCAGGTCAGTGAAGTGATAAAAGAGGTATGTATTAGCCATATCCCATTTAGGTGACAACTGAGAAATCCATAGAAGTATTTCCTGGGCTGTGTTAATCTTATCTGGACTTCCATGTGGTCAAATCATACAGGTTTTTCTTCCTTGGGTTCAAAGGAGAAGAGTAGATTAGAATTTGCTTTGGTGGTGTAAAATTCCATAAAATCTTGACAGAGTATTCATCAAATACCTTTTCTCTATTATTTGGTTTGCTGTATAGTAGCTGGTTAAATACTGTTTAGAGAAAAAAAAAAGTAGCATATTAGTTAAATTACCTGATGTGTGAGAGTCTTAGTCTTCCACCTTTTCTCTGCTTGAACTCTCTTTGCTCAATGAACAGTGATTTCAGTGAACCTTATCAAGAACATCAGTACTGTTTCACATGAGAAGTGCCAAATTTGGACCCTAATGAAGGCTACAACTCTGTTACCTTTTCTGTGTTTGTACAGTCTTGATGTATGCATGTACACACCAGAAGGATCACCTAATTATATACATAAATATGGGGAGAGACCCCATATCTAGAATGAATCTTGGCTAGTAAATCCAATGAAAAATTAATTGCAGACTTCAATTTTCATTATTTTCTGGGTAAGAAGAGTAATGGTTTTCATGCTGTGTTCTGAAAAAGGGTATTAATAGAATTTATAACACTGGCATAGAGGGATTTAAATATGTAGCATAGAGCACTCTAAATGAATGTTTTGGGTTTGTTTTTTTTAACAAAACAAACCAAACCAAAACAAAACAAAAAAACCCAAACCATGATATTCCAGTGAGTACAGGTAATTAATATTCAATTTGCATCTGTAAAAAAGAGGTCAGCCAGAATACCTGTCAAAAGTTTGTATATTCTGTTTCTCAGTGAGTAGGTCAGCACTGTAGATACATAATAAAATTATGTATCTTCATCTAAATTTACATCTGTTTTCCTAAAGATAAAATTATGATATACATCCCTGATCTTCCTTACTATTATTTATTGTGTGCTATGGCCTCTTTTGTAAACTAAGGCAATTAGCCCTTGCCCCAGTTCCCTTGGCTTTATTTCATGACTGAGCCTCTAACATAGTGTTGTTTCATGTGTTCATTTTGACAGCAATAATAATTTTGTTTCTACTACAGTCGATGATGTATGGAGGGTACTGTTCACCAACAGATTTTCTCCAGCATAAATTCATGGGCTTTAGACAATGCAGGGTAAATTTTCAATATGATATTCTGATTAAGCATGGCTAAATGTATTAGGGTGCTGTCATTTCTGTAAGGCATATGAAAAGCAATTGAAAAAATTATATAGGAGCTATGATTGGCAAATTGTGAATATGTTGATTTATAAACCACCATTCTTAATTACAAAAGCTTACTAATTTAACTGCTGCCAAAGGATCAAGGTTTTCTCATGTTTACTAGAATTTTTGAGAAAGAGTAAATCCCATTATAGCTTGAGTCATACCTGGAAAAAAATCAACAAAATTTGAAAGTATACATATTGAAGGCTTTGACAGACTTCCTGAAGGTTCCTATTTGTGCTCTTGCTGGTATTTGCATTGCAGATTCATGGTTTCTATGTCCTGTTCTTTTTATCCCTGGGACACTGTAATGCAAATCTTAGTATCTTTCCAGTGCTTGGCAATTTGCATCTTTGAAATTTGAATCATTGTGAGACACAAGAGAATTATATAGTGAATACACTGATGTGTTTCAAGACACAAACTTGAATCTCCTATAATGAAAAATTCTAATATTCAAAAGTGTCACAGATTTGTTCTTTATTTGGTATTTCATTCCTTTAAATCCACTGTGTTTTCATCTTTTATGTTTTAATATAGAACTGTAAAAGAGCAAAAACAATGGTTACATGGCAGGTATATTGATAGAATAAAATAATCGGTTTCATGTTTCTGTCTTTGGAAAAAAACCTAAGATACAGCAATAGGAATTGCTACAGTTTTAAGAAATTCCTGGGAGATGTCTACCTCATTTACCGCTATAAACAGAAATGCAGAGTTTTCTCAAGTGCAATAATATTAAAATACTTTCCTATATGAGCTCTACATTTTTCCACATAATGCCTCTCATGTCCAACAAATAATAATTGCTAGTTCTTTGCATTTCTCACATTGCTCTGGAAGTAATAAAATATTTATTGTTTGTGGAGCTAGTATAATTTTTTCTTATCTCCAACTAACAATGCACTGATTAAGTGCATGATTAGTATGCAAGTCATGTTATCACCAACAAATTTGTAGTATTTGATATGTAATTGTAATGGTATAATTAATGAGAGAGAATATTTTAGTAAATTTATCGTGAAAAGCAAGAAAACAAAATGTCTTGTTTTCTCTGAGGCTGGTTAATAAACAGATATCAATATATGCCTAGTAAATTTGCAAGTTGGATTTCTGGGAATGGGAAGTGTTTGCATTAAAACTCACTGAATGTGCTTAAATGCACATAACTTTCATCCATCAGCATTATATTCATTTGTTCTTTCTCTGTGGTCATTAGTAAAAGACATTTATCTTTGTCATTCTTAACAGCAACTGGACTTTGAGACTAAAAAATCCTATACTCTGAAGGTAGAAGCAGCCAACGTTCATATTGATCCTCGCTTCATGAGTGGAGGACCGTTCAAGGATACAGCAACAGTAAAAATTGTAGTAGAGGATGCTGATGAGCCACCAGTCTTTTCATCACCTACTTACCTGCTGGAAGTGCATGAAAATGCTGCTATTAACTCTGTGATTGGTCAGGTGACTGCCCATGACCCTGATGTGTCTTCCAGTCCTATAAGGTAGTTCTGGTTTAGAGTACTCTTCAAAAAAACTGCTGACAGAATACCAAGTATATTTTCCCATACATTGTATGATGTTGTTCTCATGCCATTTTGTTTTATGAAAATATTTGTATAGGATTTGTTTAATGATGTGAGATTTATCAGTTCAGATCACTTTCAAAATCACAGAGATACTCCTTGCCGCAAGAGTAGACTTATGAAACAGTGGGAAAATAAGAAATAGGGTCCATGAGGTCTGATGGAGTTGAATGATCTGTGTCTATCTCTGCAGTTATTTTAAATAATCCACTAGGTTCTGCAATAACAATACTAAGTTTGTTCCTTGCAGTTGTAAGGTTGTCAAATCATATTTTGTATTCCTTTGGCTGAATCAATTCCTGGTTTAAAGATAGAAACTCAGAGATTAATATGCCCATATGACTTTTGCATCTTTGATTTACAGTATTTTCGCTTTCTGATCTAAGTTAACAGAATCTGTCATCCCAGTTTCATCAGATCAGTGTTTTCTATCTCATCTTGATGAGCATACTTCTTCCCTTCCCTCTTTGAAGTGGTTAGTATGGTATGATGTGAGTGTTCTCAAACCACATTTTGTTATGTGTAATACTGCCTGTTGAAAGCATTATGAAGACAAACATCAAAACGTCATATTCATAGTAAAGGTGTATTTGGAAAGAGTCTATTTAGTAATAAACTTCACTGTAAGTGCCTACTTTTCCTACTGCCTTAGGAAACTTAAGCTATACAAACAGTCTTCAGCATTGTGAGGATGATGCTAATTATTATAATCTGTCACTTAAGACCATTTTCTAATCATCACCATTTACATCAGGTCTGTAGCAGAGCCAAACTTTAAATCTTTATTTAGGGGGCCTATATGTTGCATATCATACTCTAGTATTTTCAAAATCAGAAATTCAGAATTTCCAACATGTTTGAGTGTACTAGAACTTGTGTGCAAAGATGTTGGAGAATCTGTTGTTGTTTCATTTCTAAATCATCCTTTCAAAATTAGCCAAACATAGTGTTAACTATCACAGATTTCTATACAAATTAATTGATTAATATATTTTCTACTGCAGCACAAAACCCAGAGAGTATTAATAGACACCAAATTTGTTTTCTTAGTAGAGGAGCTCTCAGGGTAATTTAAGGTGGTAATCCGATCATTAAAGTGGGAAATAAATTAGGGTAGTTACCCAGGTTAGAAAAATGTAATATACAATGCACAGAGTTTGAGCTATCACAATTTGAACAGTGGCTAAACCCCTAACTTTATTACTGCTGACATCTGTGAAAAAGGGCTTATACTGCTGCTACAGAGTCTTCTGAAAGGTGTGTGAAACCAGGCATAGTAGCAACACCTTGGCTTTCTTCCCTTTATTCCAGCTCCATCGTAATTTCTCTTTCAATTTAACCTTAGTTCCTTCCCTCCACCCTGTTCTGCTCTGCTCTTGGCTTGGCCCTGTGCTCCTCTGCCTCTTGATTGTGTCCCCTTTTTTCCTCATCTGAGCCTACCTTCAACTCTGCTTCGGTTCTACCTTGGCGATTTTCCCAGCCTTGTTCTGTTTCCCTGGAATTCTTTTCTAGTCCTGCCCCAAACTCTTAATGATTTAGACCAGCCTATCTATGTCCTAAAATTGAGCTTCTCTATTCAGTCCAAGTCTGAAAAATTGAGGTAAATAAAATATTTATTTCACTTCTGTTTCTCATCATTTTATAGACCAAGATATTTTCAAACTTTTAAAAGCAAAAATATTTTATATGCAAACTGAATTATCAAGAATAATTAAAAAAGAGTAGAAACAATTCATAAACAGGAAACAGAACTGGCCAAAATTCATTAGATTTAAACAAAAAAGTGATTAGTAGAATATATACCTTCTTTAAAAATATCATATGCAGTACTTTCTAAAATTTAATTTTTCTATAGTATTAGCTTGATAGCTACTTAAGGAATATACAGAATTCGTTTTCTATGGAACTTTTTTTTTCATGTTTGCTCCCTCACCATGTTTGCTCTCTCTTCATGTTTAATTTGGCTTTATCTGGGATAGCTCTGGAAAGTCCAAGTTCTTTTTTTGCATTTTTTGCCTGAAACGTATTTAAGACAAAACAAAAAAAAGATATTTCAAGTCAGTAATTCTAATATTACAGGAGCAAAAATATCCATCAGGGTCAAGTAGGGAGCAGAAATGCAGTTACTTCCCAATTAAGAACAAAATTGGAACATGACAGGTTCTAACAGAAATTTGTGGAAGCATTGTTCTGTTGGATTAGAATGTTTCATTTTGATTGTGCATTTCAAGTGTTTATTCTGTTGTTATATGACATGTACGATAAAAAAAATATTAAAAATAATGGACCGTTATAATGCTACCTGGCCATTTTTAATGTATTTTTTTTCTTTAAAACAGAGTTTTAGGAAACAACTACCAATTGCATTTCAAGGAAATTGTGTTTTTCAGTGAATATCTATTTTGGTTAGAGCTTCTGTGTATGTTTGTTATAAAAATCCTAGCAACACAAATGAAAATATAAATCACCTTATGTACTTCCAATACTACATCTGCTGCACATTTGTCTTAAACTCAAAGACTCAGTAAGCTCTGAGTATTACAGTACCATGAATGAAATAGAACTTGGATGTCTCTGAACATGGAAATAGTCTGGTAACTGAGTCATTTCTTTCCAATACAACAGTACTTTGGTTTTTCTGCTTGCTTAGGAGAGATGAAATATTCTCTGATCTTTCCATCACTTGATGTAAAGGGCATGAAGCCCAGCATAGATTTAGAAGCAGGTGTATAAATGGCTTACCAGTCAGGTTCTGAAAGTGCCCACCTCATGGAAATACCTGAGGAGGTATTGGCAAAGTGTTAGTCTGACATCTCTGTATCAAGCAAAGAAATTTAGATGCCTTTAGATCAATGGGACTAAAGGATGCATGTGTTGTATGAGACTTTTCTCTTTGTTGATCCTGAGCCCTAATTTTGGATAAGCAGAGGCATCTTTGAATGGCTAAGTGATAATGTGATTTTCAGCTGAATTATGCTTTCATCATCCATTTCTTCAATGAACATGCACTATCCCTTTGTACCAGTTTTTCAGTTAGTCTAACTATACCACGTTTCAGTGTTTTTAAAATAAGCAGCATAATTTCTCTTTTACCTTTACTTGGCATTCTGCTGTGCATGTTGCTTAAGGGCCTGGTTCACTTTTAAGCCTGATGGTGAAAAGGATTTACAAGTTTGGCTAATAATTGTAGACATTGTCAGTAGTTTGTCTTATTCTAGCCTAGTCATTTCAGAAGCGTGTGTCAGTGGCTCACATCTTACTTCATCCAGACTGTATGTGTCTCTCTTGGGAAAGGGACACAGTAAATTCAGCTAAGCTAGTTGTAAAGCTTTACTGTAGTTTTTTTAGTAAGGGTAGAAGATTCTGGCTCATAGTACAGTTGGACTTGAAAGATCATTATCTATTAGCATGCAAATCTATTGATTCCAGTACTTTACTTATTCCACTACTTTATTTCATGTTTCTGTTGTTACTTTATAACCATGGTCTATTTATCTGCAGTAAATTATCTTGGATAAGGCATGATCCAAGTGCTGTAGAAAAGCATGAGTAACAGTCTTTCTTCCTGTACTGTCTCTGCCCTCCTATAAATCACTGCCCTTCAGTGTCTTTCTCTGTGGAGAGATAAGCTTCAGTATGGCAGGTTTTCGCCATTCATATCAACAGAGATTTCATCATTGGCAACAGTTGTTCATTGTTTAATTCACAGCAGGCCGTAAAAACCTAGATATTATGTTTTCTGCCTCCCTAATGGTACAGCTGTTTATCTGTCACTAAGTAGCATGTCCGATCTGCCTGGCATTAATAAACAATGCTGATTTACCACTGATGAGATATCAGTGCCATGTTTCAAATCTCAGCAGGTGCAGCCAAAAGGATTTCTGCTCTTATTTACATTGGTGCAAATAAAGAAGAGATCAAACTAAGTCATAACAGCAATATCAATAGTGTAGGAGCAAAACTGAGAATCTTTCTAAATCTTCTGTTAAACCACTATGGGGTAGTTCCTGTAATTGCCATAGCAGGACCATAAACTAACCAAAACTTCCCCATAACCTGTGCTGGCTTTATGGCAATTCCAAAAGATATTATTTCCCAAGATACTATTTTCTTATTTTTAAAGAAATATATGTTTTATGTATAGCTTATGGATCTGACAATGCATCCCCCTTAAAAAGAGTTACAATACCATTATCATGAAAAGGAAAATGCAAATGTTCTATTAGTTTTCCCAGGTTTATGACACTGCAGGTTTTATTTTTTGTTTGCACGAAATATGTGTCAAATTAAAATCAGGAAGGGGTTTTACCTCATTGTAGTCCTGTAAAGCCACGTAACTTGTGTTAAAAATGTTTCATTTTCAATGCTGCTTCTGCATTGTGAATAAATACTGTTGGGATCAGATGAAGTGTAGTATAACAAACTCTCAGATGTTATGCTTCTGGTTTTATAACTTCAGAAAGTGTACTGCAGGAAGAGTGTGAAGGGAAGTTTTAAAAAGGATTGATCCTTAGAGAAAAACTGTGTCATAGCTCAATTTATGTCAAGCTCAGGTCAACTAAACATTAAATACCATATAAGCAGTTCATCTTTAATTTCATTTGTGGACTGTAAGAATTTCATAAATGTTTGATATCAGCAGAGTTCTTTATGGATAATTACATGACCATCAAGAATTAAAATACAGTTTTAAGTTATGACAACTTAAAAAAGTTATCTTGATCACTGTCTTTCTCATATTTTCTTGAGTGAAATCTTAAACCTGTGAAAGTCTGTAAGATATTTTTTACTAACTTTGCTCATAGCAGAATTTTACTTCTCATACTTTAATTTGAACTAGAGAGACGTCAAAATAAGGTTAAGGTACACTTTCAAAAATGATTGCCTGAAGTTAGGCTCTTACAGCTTTATTCTTCCACACAAGTGACCTGATTTTCAGAAATGCTGAGGGTAGTGTAAGTCCCATTAAACCATTGAGAACTGAGTATGTGGAGCTCAGTAGAAAATCAGTTTACTTTAATGACCAAATATAGATGCATGTGCCTAGCTTTAGGCACATATATTTGGAATTTTACTTAATACTTTTTTTAGTACTCTTCTTAACCAAATTACTAATTTTGAAGTGAGTAACACCAGTTCTTTTCAGAGTTTAAAAACAGAAAAGTGAAATGTCTAACAAATCCTACTTCCTAGTTAAACAGGGGGTTTCACTCTTAAGTCGATGAGTTGTTAAGTGCCTTACCAGTGTAATCATGCTAGTCTTGATCTTTAGTAATTAGGTCTTTAAACATTTAAACTTTAAGATTTTGATAAAATTTCATAATTTAGAACTAATTTTTTTGAAAATTAATTGTATCTTAATGCATTGCACAAACAATGTAATTGCAATGCATTTTTCAGTCTAAATATGAAAATATCGGACACTGAAGTAAAAAAAGACCATTGCCATAAATCTAAGCTAAGCTTTGAAATCAGGTCCTAATGCTATGTCTATCAGAATCAATTGTGTTATGCTGGAATGAGTTTGAGTTCATCAGAGTACGTTTATTGTAACATATAAAGGAACTTCTGAATCAGAACTTTTTTTGGAAATTGCTTATGATAAAGCATAAACCAGAATGGAATAACTAGTTTTTAGATAACTGTGCCATTGTCACTGTAGCAAAATACGCTCTTGTACTTTTATCAGTGCATTTAACAGCATATTTGCAAAAAGTAGAAAAGTAATGAGAAACTGACAGTCTGAGTCACTTTTCTGACCACTATATAATGTAATCCAGTCTGATTCAGTATCCCAACTCACCCTATTATGCCTGGATATAATGCAGAACAGATGTAAAAACTGTCAGTGCATGCTGCTAGGTTCTGTAATACATAAGACACAAAGGCTTGAAAGGCTTTTATATAAATCCACAATTAGGATTCAGTAAAACCCCTTGAAGTAAATTTTTGTTGAACCATATCAATAGTTTATCACTAAACTTTCTCATTTCATACCTTTTCTGTCCAAAAATTGGAAGGCTTAATATTGTGATTTGGTTTCTTTTTGGGAATAATGCATTAATAAAATAACTCTATGAAAATGGAGAAACGTAAAAGCTTTCTTGAGATCCTGTTCTGAGCTTTAAATCATCATCCTGCTTAATGCACCACTGGAGCAATCTACTGAAGCTCGCTCTTGTTGTCAAGCTGGCTGTTTAGGCTGCTTACTTTACCTGGACATTCACATTTGCAAACTCTTGACTACCTGAAACTTGTTTTGTTAAAAAGCAGCTATGTCAATCAGTAAAACAACCAGTCGTGTGGTATTTGAGGGGTATTCTAAGAAAATGGTGATTCACTAACTGTATTCTGCCCATGGAGCTACTTGAACCGTAACCAAACAATATGCTTGGTGAATAGTTCATGCTTCATTAATCTGAAATGTATTGGTGAAATAATATTATTCAGCCTTTTTTAAAATAACCATGAAGCCCACCATTTTTGTGTGCTTAATACATTACTGTTGAAATTATCAGCAGTTACTGTGAAATGCTGTGGAAATTGTCTAATAAATGTGATGGATTGTGTAATTAACTCTTGATCAGCACTGTTTTTCAGTGATGTTAACCAGTGAAGCTGAGGGCATTTTGTGACCTTCACACTGGGTATACAGCTAATTACTCCTTGGGCAATAATTACTAAGGTTTTTTTAGTCTCTGTCATTTTGTCTTATAAAGGATTATGCTATTGAGCTTCTCAATCCATTTCACTCTAAAACTGCAGCTCTCAGAGGGCTCCCTAGGTTGTCTTGTGATTGTATGGATTACACCAACTTCATTAAGTAGATTACAGGGATGTCTCTTTTGTAGGTTTTCCATTGATCGGCACACTGACCTTGAGAGACAATTCAACATTAATGCAGAAGATGGGAAAATAACTTTGGCAACACCACTCGACAGAGAAACAAATATGTGGCACAACATAACTATTGTAGCTACTGAAACTAGTAAGTATTTGTGTGTACTGAATTTTAGTTCTGTTTGATTTATAATTATTTTTAACAGCATGTGCAGTGGAAACTGCGTATAATTCAATAAAAAGTAAAACACGTTGGATTTTTAAATTACAGATTTTTTGAAAGAAAACTTAATTTTGACTGAGGTTCCATTTCTTTTGGTTTTCAAAACTGCATTTTTTCAGTGAATACAGTAGTAAAGGTTTTGAAGAGATGCATGAGTACATTTGTACAAGGTGTATAGGGTAAATGTTAAAAAATGTTTAAAAAACATCCAAAACAAGGCCTTATATTTAGTTTGTTATATTAAGACAGAAAAAAGAGAAAGCTTTGCTATTGTAGAAGTAAATTGTAGACTCCACCCAAAAGTTCTTAATGCTGAGTAATACTATGTTTCAGTATCATAAATTATTGAGCACCTGGGTAATGTTACATGAAAGTAGTCCTATTTGATACATATAAGTAAATTTACTCTTATACAGCTATAGACAAGGACATGGATTGTTCAGATCCTTAAAACTGTTCAGACTGATCTGTACACCTAAGGAATCGGGAGCCAGGAGCATCATCCTGTCTGGGAATATGGATCCTCAATTTTAACCGAGTAGAATTCTTGATTAATTTGGAATTGAGAGCACTGCTGACAGGATCACATATGGCAGTATAATCCATTATTAATATTAGCACTGTATTTTGGACTATATATTTGACATAAACATATTGCAGCGAAGCAACAGAGTCAAAACACAGGTCTGCCATCCCATGCCAGTCTTAACTGAAACACAAACTATTAAAATGTTTCTGCTGGCGTATCTATTCTGTAATTAACGTATATGTACAATTCCCATATGTGCATACACACTTGACACATCTTTATATGAATATTTGTCTTCAGAGCCTGACAATCAGTGCTGCTAATTCTTGCATGTAGAAAATAAGGTGATGTTAATGCTTGTTTTTCCCCCAGAGTATCTTTTTTAAAGATCTAGAATTATGATATGGCATATTTAATGCTCAGTTTCATAATACTGTATCTATGAACACAATGAATGGGAGGATAAAATGTGCTTACTTAGACCATTTTGGTTGTGCAGTGTTTTTCTGTGGTACTTTGTTTCAAAAACAAACCTGTCGAGAATCTGTGACAGGTAACTGAAATGGCATACATAAATGAGAAAGATAGATCTGGCTATGAACTAAGTTCTCAACTTAAAACACCTGTATACTGTATTGCTATGACCTGCCTTAATAATTTGTGTATTTCATTACCAGTAGTACAGTAGTGCCAACAGTGCCCTGATAATTACTGTTAAGTCTTGCAGGCAAACACTACTTTGATAAAGTAGCAAGAATACTTTTTGCTTTCAGGAAAGCCAAGCTGACACATGGAATCAAACTGTGTAAGGAAAGAACATAAGCTCTTGTTTCATAGGGGTATTTTGCCCAGGTTAATATTGAGCCAGTTAATAATTTTTATGTTTTTAAAGGAGAAAGATATAAAAGTTCCATACCAATTGTCCCAAGACATGGGGAATATCAGATAATGAGATTTACTAGTGGCATGGAAAGCTGAATAGTTTGTGATCCAAAGCTTTCGGCCATTGGAATAGTAAGATGTAAATTGAAGAAATTTTACATTTTATTTCCTCCAACAAGTCAAAACCAACAAAATTAAAATAAAATTTTTTCAAGAAACTCCTGCAATTCAGTTTTTCATCTCTCTTATTCTTGTGTGTCAGAGCAAAGTTAACGGAAGTGCACTTTACTAGGCTACATCAGAATCAATTCTGCCTGTTGCATCTTCAGATTTTTAAAACATAATTATAGTTCAGAATTTTGTAAGAAATCAGCCTTGTCATTAGACTTCATGGGAGCCTCAGCATCTATCACGACTGTAAAATTGCCTCTTATCAGACTGTCTATGAAAATAATAACACTTAAGTTGTTCTAAGCATTTGCGTTCCTGCTGATGGCTTATTTTCGCATTCCTAATATAATTATTTGACATTTACATAAAACAAGAGCTTAATTTCATAGACTACTATCTTTGCTTATTTAAGAGAAATTATTTTTAAACTCTTCATGCAGAAACTAAATTTGTTCATAGAACTGTTAAGCAGGGCATTTTTAGATTTTTTTTTTTCCAACACAGTAATAAGCAAAATCTCTGTTATAAAATAACAGAAAGCTGTTGGAGGCAGACACAAGCAGCAAATGAAAATATGAAGTGTGTCATTACAATGCATTCACTGACAGTAACATTAATGGACTGCTGATCTCTCCCATAAAAATAAATATGTCAGCAGCATTCATATTGGAGCATTTTCTCTTCCTGGGCTAGCTGCTTTCCAGGTTCAGTTCAACCCCTATTCAGATGGGGCAATGATCAGACCATGTCATTGCCATTACACTTGCTCACTAGTCATAAGCCATGGTATTTTTTTTTCTTCTTGATTCCCAGCATGGTCGATCCTAAATATACCCTGATGTATCAACACTCATAGATAAACACCAAGTTTTGACAAAACATAAATCACTATTTCAGAACTTCGTGCTGCTAACTTACCTGCAGCTAAATTTCCACTTTAAGCGCAGGTAATTTTTAGCAGTTTTCTGCTGTCACTGTGGCAAAGTTATTCTTTTGTATCATTCTTCAGCCACTATCTCAGGCAGGAATCTTCCAAGTCAAGATTGGTCTGGTTGAATTGAGCATAAATGCTTCTGCACTTTTACCTCCTTTCACTTTCTCATCATTAGCAGACTCTTTCCAGCCTCTGTGAAGGAGTTTCTAGTTGTCTGCAGCCTTTCTTCTTGGGTGGTTAAACTAGCCAGACAGACTGAGGAAAATTGCCTTGAGTTGCTGTCTTTCAGACAGTTGCCCAAACTTTTGTATTGCCTTTATATTCTGATTCTTCAAATATGTAGACAACTTGCATATAGTTTTATGCCTCCTGTTTAAAGCACAGTAACTACATTGCATACTGATTGCATGCCCCCTAGAGACAATTCTTCAAATATGTCATCCAACTGAATCTTTTTTTGGTTACTAAGGATGAAACAATGCAAAGAGCTATCAGTGAAATATACTGGACTGAACATGATTAATGTGGCAGAGGTGATACTTAGGTAACAGTTTCAGTATTCTGGATTTAGTTACACATTTACAATTAATTTAGTGAAAAATCAGGAGGTAAATTCCTTCTGCAGCTTTGATCCCCTCAACTACTACCCTTAAATCTGTCTAATCTTTAATGTTATGTTCACTTTGCACATTTTTTTCTGTTGTATGATTTCTTAAACTTCTTTCTTAAATCATCAAGTTCATTTTTGCTTCTTTATTGTTAAACTTTTTTCCTCTGCTCTTGTGGTGATTATGTTGATGAATTCTGTTGCATGGATTTTTAAGATAAGAGAATATTGCAAAGACCTCTTTGAAAGATCACTCTGAAATACAGGCTTAGGATAAATATATGTATTAACAATCATGGCAAGAGGGATATTGAGAGTTATTGCACCTATGAATTGATTCTTAAATTTTCTTTTTATGTTGCCATATATCCAAGTTTACTCTGCTGAATGAGTCAGGAGCAGGAATATCTAGGTGATCACAGGCTAGAGGAAGCAGGCTTACTGGCAAAATGACCAGGCAGAATGTGCCTTTTCTGGCCTGGGGATATAAAAGGTGAACATTGTTTTCTGTCACTGACTCTCTGGACTTCAAATACTGGACTAATGAGATTTCTCATTGTTTTGTTTTGTAGTTAAGACTTACATGAACTTAAATTGTATGCTAAGGTTGGGAGGTTTATTTTAGCTAGATGCTTGAGAGAGTGGGGGTGGATATAGCCTTGTTTTTTAAGTCGTGGCTGGTATGGTTGGGCTTTCTGGAGCTATGCCCTGAACAGGAAAGGAATCCGGGGGCATATGCAAGTATTCTCTGAGAGCCTGAATTGCAGTGCAGTAAGAATGAATGATTAACTTACAGATGCTCTTGGTGCATCTTTTTTGTATGTACAAAGGCTCATCACGTCTCTGGTTCTTTGGTACTTTTTTGAGATGGAATTTTCTGCCATTCAGTAAAATCTAGTGAAGTCAGGACCCTTATAGTAGTGTGTGATCCCATTCATCTAAACTCACAAATACTTTTTTTAGTTTGTATAAGTTACAATTATAGCTATAACTACCATTCACATTGACATGCTTGTGTTGCTTGCATGAACTGGTTAGCAGTTTTGCTGGACAGTGAAGCAGAGCAGAGTTCAGGCAGGGCTAACCTCCTCAGTATTCTTTCAGTTTCTTGTACAGGTTTTGCAGTACTTACCAAGTTATGTGTTGCCAGTGCTACTCAGCTACTAAAAGAAAATCAAATAGCCATGATTTATTTATTAGAACATTTTTGCTACAGCTTGCACAGATTCTGAATGGAGTTCAGAATCTCTGATCATTCAAGCTATCAGATTGTCATATGTGTATAAGGCATATAATAATTAAACTGTATCTTCTTTACACAGTAGAAATTTGTTGAATGATATCATACGTTTCAACAAGAAAAAACTTTTAAACATATTCCAGTTGGCAGTCTCTGAGATTTGTGGATACTACACCAACTAGTAACAGAAGCCATGGCTTATAAATTTTAAAGCCTATTAAACAATGATCCCTTTAAAGTCCCCAAGATTTCTTTCACCTAGCATAACACTGAGTGGGCTACTCATGATTTATATTTTCTTCCTTGCCTCTTTATGGCCATGGGCAGCACTGGATTCCTCAAACTGCATTCAGGTTGAATCTCAGTTCATGGTACTACCATGAGCATATTCAAGCACAGACAGGTTCTTCTGTATTTAGTATAGGCTCAAGCCTTTTCAGGCTTACTGGGAAATACAGAGCTGAAATGTGCATCTGTTTGCTCTGTTGCGTTAGGTTACAAGAAGGCTCTTCTAAAACTTCTCTCTCTAATCATACTCAGTGCATCCCACACACAGACATGC